AAGACAATGACCATCCTTTATCTCAAGGAACTAAAAATTGCACAGAAGAAGCAGGCAGAACGGCCTACATGTAAATAGCAATACATAAGCAACACGTCGGCGCACAGGTGCTCGAAATAATTTTTTCCCTGTTCTAAATGCTTCAAGAAAACAAAACTCATTTTGTCCTCTCAAGAAGCACATGAGGAGGTATTTGTGTTATGCCCATTTTTCAGGATGAGAAAACTGAGACCCCATGAGGTTAAAAAATTTCCCCAAACTCATATAACTAGTTTAATAGCAAAATCAGGACGAAAACTCAGGATTAAAATCCTTTGTTAGGCGCCAACAAAGGATTCCAAGGGGATTAAGGTCAGTGTCACAGTAGGTAAACATCTGACTTGGAAAATGAGAATGATTTTAATAGGCAAGAAAAGGAGCAGGACCTTCCAGGCCAAGGAGTCCTGGGAGGGCCTGATGTGCTATGGGCCTTGAAGAACACCGTCAGAGCTGATTGCAAGCTTGTGTTCTGTTTATAAATATTTCCTAGCAAGTAGCAGATCCCTGGCTGTAGCAGAGGCCCAGTCAATGTGGATTCTATACATGGTGTTTGGATGAACTCTAAGGTGCATGTAGTGGGTGATGAGGTTGGAGAGTAAATTTGGAGACAGATTTTGCAGGACTCAGAATGCGACGATTATGAACAGCAACTTGGGATTCCCATTCTTGTGGAATTCTTAGAAGACCTGTGATGCAACTGGCCTTATGCAAGGATGATGATTCTGGCATTAATGTGATTGATGGATCAGAGAGGCGACAGCCTGAATGAGGGCAGATGGGGCAGGAGGCGGGCGGAGTTGTCTGGGGCTGAGGAGACCAAAAGATCCTAAACAAGGACAGTGTCTGTAAAACTGAGGGAGAGGCGTGGGCAGGTGAGTAAGTGAGTGTGGGTGAGCAGGCTCAAGATGATGCCACGGTTTGTAGTCTGGGTGACAGGGAAATATAACATGCACACACATGCAATGATGAATTCATGACTACACACGCACGTGTGTGTGCCCACATGCCCACGCTTCCGTGTCTTGGTCTGACACTATTCTGAAACTCATTTAGTGGCCAAGTGCGATATGCTTAAAGGCAGTGAGATCTGATTCCACAATCTAGTGGCTCATCAGATTTACAAAATAGAAAGCAGAGTTGGCCAAATAGAATCCTCTAGAGTTTGAGTCATTGCAGCAGAGGCCATGTGAGGGCAGGTAGATACACACAGAAGCAAAGGTGGGGGTTAACCCAAACCAGATGCTTCTTTCTAGAGTGAGGACCATTGCCTCTGACGTCAGAGTTGTTGATCTTAAGCAGGATGCTTCCAAAGGATCCAGGGAAATATACTATCTGAGCATGCAGTCAAGCCCAGGAAGCAACGACTTATGCAGACATAAAATAATGGGATGAACTGTCAGAACCATCAACGTCAGGGGCAGAGAAGAACCTATTAGTTCAGCCAGTTCAGACCCACTACCACAACTGAGTCTAAGAGCTTGTCACCATGGAAGGCCACCTGGGAACAAGGTCCTCCCTGGGACTGACTTCCTTCTGAAACACATCCTGTTGAGATTATCAGATGGGTATGGAGTGGGGAATCCAGTCTTGCTCTTTTGTTACTAGCTGTGTCACTTTGGCAAGTCACAGACTGAAATTCTACAGATTTCTTCACCTGTAACACAGAAATGTTTAGAAACATTCCTCCCGGGCTGTCATGAGGTTTCAATGAGATTGTGCAATTAGCGCAGTGGCCGGCACATAGTTAGTGCTCAATAAACGTCAGCTATGGTCCTCTTATTAGACCCATTCACAATTTGAATGTGTCTCTATGGATTACATGCTGTCGATCTCAGTCTCCAGGTAGAATTTTTAATCCATCAGGTTTTGAGTTATTTGTAACAGATTCTGGCAGGAATCTTAGAGGTCATCTAGTCTAACCTCCAGAAAGAATCCTGGATGTAATGCCCATGTTCACATTTGCATTTCTTCTTACCCAAAGCAAAGCCTCTACGTTGGGATGGATATACAACACACACGGAAACCAAACAATTAAGAGCAAGTCCTCTTGAAGCAGCAGGTGGGCAGCGTTCAAATCAGCTGCTCTTGGCGAGGTGGGTGGCGGTGGTAAGTGCAGGAAGCTCTGTGGGGCGCAGGTTTCTGAATCACGGGGAGACTTTCCAGTAGCACTCAGGCTGAGAGATGCTCATTACCAACACGAGCTCAGGAGAGGGAGGGAGAGGGAGAACATGAGGAAGAGGGGGAGCCAGAAATGGGGAGGGGCAGAGGGAGACAGGGAGAGTGCAGAGAGGAGAAAAAAAAGAAAAGGGAAGAGAGAGGGAGAAAGAAAGAAAGGGGAGGAGAGAGGAGACAGGGTGTAGAGAGAGACTTTTTACTCCCCCAGCAGAGGAAGAAATTGCAGTACAAGCATTGAAGATGAGCTGTAACTTCTTAAATTCTAGGATTTTGACCAAACTACACAGCAGCAAATAAGAACAGATACAGTCAGAGCTACAGAGATGCTGTTGATGACAATTCCAGATTTAGCATAAAGCCTTTCACCTGTTCTATTAGGCTCTATTTGCTGGGCTTCCCCTGCTGCCAGCTGTTACAAAGGATCCGTTGTTAAAAGTTCAGGTCCTTCCCTGCGGGTAGTCAGAGTGAGTTCAACCTGGAGATGTTAAACCTTCACTCAGCAGATCCCTAGGAGCCCGGAGGAACACAGAGCAACAGCTTCTCTCTCCTCTCTGCTAGAATTGGCCAGGGGCCTAAGTTCCTGGAGGTAATCAGTTTCCCTCCCATTTCCCAGCTGGGATGGAGGTCTAGCCCCTAACCCCAGCCTCGCTTGCTGGGTCCCTGAAATCTTTGGTCAATTACTGCCAGCCCCTGCTCCACAGTGACTAAGCCCTGCTCCCTGTTGTCCTTGTAGCAGTTTTGGACAGAACTTTCTGGCCTCTGACCTTAGCCTTCCAAGGACAGAGACCCCTTGCTGCTGTTACCATGCCTCTGGTCAGATCTTGGTGTCGTCAATGTGGCCCCAAGCATGCCAAGATTATCTACAGCCCTGGGATTCAGCAATGGCAACTTCCAGCCTTGCTTGACTATGAAGCCCATGTCAGGTTGAACTCCTCCACCCAATTTTGTCCAGTTCATCTTTTATTCACACTGAGAAAAGCTGTCTAATCATATAGGAGGAGCCTGAGAATTCCCTGCAATGTATACAGTGGCCCTGACACAGAAAAGCAATGAGGCCACTCTCAGAACCAATGACCTCATTTGTGGAGTCCAGTGCAAAATGTAAATATGGGGCCCCTGCTTCCAAAAGTACTGAGAAATTTCAAAACAGATGAAGCAGAGCATTAAGCCCAGCACGGGTGCCTTGTTCAAGGCTGCACACCCACAAAGCCAGCCTCGGCCTCATGGAACAAGAGAGGACACAGCATACACCAGAAAGCAATTCAGAACTGGGTGCCAGTACCTAAATGAGGACCTGGGCCAGTCCCACACACTGAGAAGAGGTTGCATCCATTCCAGAACACATTGTGGTCATCTGTTATTTATGATTGTATGTCATGTATTTGAATAAACTCAATAACTTTATTAAGCTGAATACTGCCTTTTATTCTTGAGACTGAGTCTGACTCTGTTGTGTGATCTCAGTGTAGTGGCGTGATCTCAGCTCACTGCAACCTCTGCCTCCTGGGTTCAAGCGATTCTTCTGCCTCAGCCTCCCGAGTAGCCGGGAGTGGGATTATAGACACTCGTCATCACACCCAGCTAATTTTTGCATTTTTAGTAGAGACAGGGTTTCACTATATTGGTCTCGAACTCCTGACCTCAGGTGATCTGCCCGCCTTGGCCTCCCAAAGTTCTGGGATTACAGGTGTGAGCCACTGCACCTGGCCTGCTTTTTTTATAGAATGGTACCTGTTCTTAGTAAATAGCTTCTGTGGTTGTCACTGTCAGGCCCCAGATTGAAGAAGGCCCTAGGTATTGTTACAGTGTGAAGAGTTTACATGGATGTTGCAGTCAGGTTTCTGTTGCAAGCTGGGTGCAGTGGCTCATACCTGTAATCCCAGCACTTTGAGAGGCTGAGGCGGGCAGATCACTTGAGGCCAGGAGTTTGAGACAAGCCTGGACAACATAGTAAAAGCCCATCTCTACAAAAAAAATGCAAAAATTAGCTGGGGTAGTCTCAGATACTCGGGAGGCTGAGGTGGGAGGATTGGTCAAGCCCAGGAACTTGAGGCTGCAGTGAGCTATGTTTGCACCACTGTACTCCAGGCGGGGTGACAGTGAGACCTTGTCTCAAAAACAAAACCAAAACAAAACAAGGCTGGGCACAGTGGCTCATGCCTGTAATCCGAGCACTTTGGGAGACTGAGGTGGGCAGATCACTTGAGGCCAGGGGTTTGAGACCAGGATGTTTAACATGGCGAAACCACATCTCTAAAAAAAAATTCAAAATTATCCAGGTGTGGTGGTGAATGCCTTTAGTTCCAGCTACTTGGGAGGCTGAGGCAGGAGAATTGTTTGAACCTAAGAGGCGGAGGCTGCAGTGAGCTGAGATTGCGCCACTGCACTCCAGCCTGGGTGACAGCGAAACTCCGTCTAAAAAATAAAAAAAGAAAAAAAAATCCAACCAAACAAAAAGGCTGCCTTTTTAGTGGTGCCTTAAAAAAAAAAAAAAGAGAGAGAGAGAAGTTTCTGTTGCAGTCAGGCTTGGGCAGCAGCCAGTTTTTTTGTTTTATTGTGTGTTTATTTTGTTTGTGTTTTTGGTTTTTTTTGAGACAAGGTCTTGCCATGTTGCCCAAGCTGACCACCTTCATTCTTTAGTAACACAAGAGGATTCTGGCCAGGTAGGCAGCAGTGAACATCTCGGGAATTCAGCCAGGTTACTGGTAATCTTCAGGCCGCAGTTGGAAGGATATTTGGAATAAATCCTAGAGTGTGCTTTGCATTAATGCATCTCGCTTTTGCAGGAAAGAAAGGAGGAGTCGTGTTGGTTCAATCAACAAATATTCTGTTCATCTGGGCAAGGCTTTATAGCAGGTGTTGCAAGGGCCCTGAAAGATGAAGAGGCAGTCCTGGCCCCGGAATGTGTCCTCACGGAGGCGGTAAGTTGCTGTGTAAACAGTGGCTAATGGGGTGGTTCGGCCTTTTGTTCCTAAGAATATCCACGTCCCCCAGGCTGGGGAGGGCTACCTTGGATTTGTGGCTGGGTTCTGGGGGAACTCTGAGCAATTCTCACATCTTTTCTGAGACTCTGGTTCCTCATCTATAAATGGAGACGGTAGCTCCGTCAGACACGTTTGTCAGGATAAAATGTTATGCTGACTCTGATGGCACATTGTTACGCGTGTAAGCCTATACCAATATCAGATCACAATGATATCAGGATTTTCTCCTTCCCTTTCTCTGTAGCTTCCTCCTAATCCAATCCGTCCCCCTTCCTACGTCCTTGACTCCCTTATAATTCTTTGGGAATCTTCTCCAGACCTTTTCCTGACTGGGACTCACCTGTTTCTCATTTCTACTCCAGATCTCAATTAGCTGGCAAAGAACAGAGGATGTGTAAACCAATTTACATTTAGAAGTGTATCCAGGCCGGGCACTGTGGCTCACGCCTGTAATCCCAGCACTTAGGGAGGCCAAGGCGAGTGGATCACTTGAGGCCGGGAGTTTGAGACCAGCTTGGCCAACATGGCGAATCCCTGTCTCTACTAAAAATACAAAAATTAACCAGGCATGGTGGTGGGTGCCTGCAATCCCAGCTACTCGGGAGGGCGAGGCAGGAGAATTGCTTGAACCCGGGATTCAGTGAGTCGAGGTCACACCATCGCACTCCAGCCGGGGTGACAAGAGTGAAACTCCATCTCAAAAGCAAACAAGTGTATCCATTTGCACTGGCTACCGTAAGAACATGCCAGAATTGGGGACTTAACAGAAACTTATGTTCTGACACAGCTGGAGACTTGAAGGCCAAGGTTAAGTTGTCGGCAAGGTTGGTTTCCCTGCGGCCTCTCCCTGGTTTTCCGATGCTGTCTCCTCCCTGTGTCCACATAATCTTCTCTCTGCGTGAAGCAGCATCCTAATCTCCCCTTCTCATAAAAGCGCCAGTCAGATTGAATTGGAATCTGCCCTAGAGCCTTGTTTTAACTTAATTACCTCTTCGAAGACCCTATCTGCAAATACAGTTACATTTGGAGGTCCTGGGGGTTAGGATTTCAACATATGAATTTGGGGGCACATATCCCATAACAAGGAGATAATGAGAAATAATCCCCCTCTTTTAAAATTCTTTGCATGTGTAAAGAGGATGCTGAAGGAGAGAAAAGTGTAAAGCCAAGGATGTCTGAAGGATTTAGGATCTCAAGACCAGTTGGACATGGGGGTATTTTTGGCTGGGGACCCTCTTGGCACTCCTCACATACCAACATATAGACAACCACCTGCTCTGCCCGCGAACACGGCTGGCACTGGGTAGACAGACCACATTTTCATCCTCTTTCTGGATTCCAAAGAAATAAAGCAGCCTCACCTTCCTGCCTCTAATGAACAGCAGGATTTTTTAACTGGTTCCTTATATGGCAGCTGTTCCAGCTCTGCCTAGAGAATTTAAGCCGTCAGCCTGGCCAACTGTTGAATACCACAGGGAGAGGCATTATTTGGCTCCCAGGAAATAAGAACTCCAAAATACCTACAACCGCAGGGCGTAGTCCTGAAATGACTGCCACTTCTCCAAGCCATGAAGCCAGACTCTGCTCCCACTGTGGCGAGTTGTAGAGAAGTAAATGACTGCCTGTGTTTTTGTGGGGTAGAGAAATGAGCTTTTTAGCTTTCTGTAAAAAGAGCGGGGTTCCTGCCTTGGGTAATTCAAACTCGTTGCGAGAATATGGAACACGTCGTTGGCAGAAAACAGAGGTGAGCCCAGCAGGTATGAGCTGCTTGCAAGGGAGGGTGTCAGGAACTCCACCTGTCCCCTGGAGAGACTGACTTCTTCAAATGAGATCCATGACTCATTTTTTGCCTGGAAAAGACAGAAACCTTTCATTATCCCCTTACTTGTAGAAAATAGGTTTGTGTGTATGCGCACAGAAATTTTGACAACATAGGCGTTGGAATTCAGAGACTGCTGGAGATTTTAGAACAAAAAAAGTTACAAATGCAAAATAATCTTATCTTGCTAATTGATCTACACACACGTGCGGTTAATTTTGTGCATTATAAAATAGGTGAAATGTTTTGCTCCATCCTCTGTCCTTGTTCACAGAAAATGAGGCTCACCGCACATCCAGGCCATCATAATAAGGATTGCTTTCTTAGTCTTTATAAAGCTCTCAAGCTCTAAGCCAAAGGCTGTTGTTTGTTTGTTTCCATTTACAGCTTGCCAGCAGCCTGCTAGGTGATGGCCCAGAATCCATAACTAGCTGCAGTCTTGCCAGACAAGACCTGGGGAAGCTTCTCCATCTGCCCCCAGTGGCAATCAGACCTGTACTGATGAAATGGCCTAAGTTCAGGGAAGGCTGGGATTCAGATAGTCAGAGAGATGAGGGAGGTAGACGTTTCCCTAGGACATGCTTTTTAGTCATTTGCTGAAAAGGCTTTCATTGCTGTGTAAAGCTGCTGGCTATCTAGAACAAAGAAAATACATAAAAGGGGCATTCTTGGGAATAAAAGGCATCACTACCTTTAGCAAAGAGGAATAGGACACAGGAACAGATATAGAAAAGATTCTGAAGGAAAAGGTAGATTCTGTTGCCCAAAAGAAAGCAAGATAGCAGAGGTTTTCTGGAGTATGGATTGGAATAGGAGGTGAATGGTGACAAGGGAACTGAAAAAGCAAGTCAAAGGGACATGTTTCTGGATAGGCTGTGTCATAGTGTGACAACAAGTATGACACAAGTTAAAACAGTCTAAGTTCATTTTTTTTTTTTTTGAGACAGAGTTTTGCTCTTGTTACCCAGGCTGGAGTGCAATGGCGTGATCTCGGCTCACCGCAACCTCCGCCTCCTGGGTTCAGGCAATTCTCCTACCTCAGCCTCCCGAGTAGCTGGGACTACAGGCACGTGCCACGACACCCAGCTAATTTTTTGTATTTTTAGTAGAGACGGAGTTTCACCATGTTGACCAGGATGGTCTTGATCTCTTGACCTCGTGATCTACCTGCCTTGGCCTCCCAAAGTGCTGGGATTACAGGCTTGAGCCACCACACCCAGCCTCATCTTAGATATATTTTTTCTGACCCAGCTTTTAAGTTTACTAATTCTCTCTTCAGCTGTGTCTAATCTGATGTTAAACTCATCCAATATGTTAATTTCATTCATAACATTTATCCATATTAGAATTTCCATTTGGTTTACTTTTTATACTTTATAGGCATAATTTCCAGTTATCAAAATTTTTAAGTGAGTCTTTTATATTCTTAATCATATTAATCATTTCGTTTTAAAGTTTGTCTCTATTATCTGGACTCCTTATCAGTCTGCTTTTTCTGTTGTTTCTTTGGCCATAACTTATCTTCCTTTATGACTGATTATGTCTTGATAGGTGTCAGATATTATATATTAAAGTAGAGAGATAATTTGAGGCTTTGAATGCTGTTATCTTCTTCTAGAGAGGGCGCACTTCTGCATCTGGCTAGCATCTAGGTTAGAAACACTAGCAGTTTCAGGTCATATTAATTCAGCCAAGGATAGATCATTTGAAGCCCTACTTGAGGCCCCGTGAGGACTAACCTGTTGGTTCACACTTACGTCCGGGTACCTGGTAGCTCAGGGTGTTTACTAGGATCCCTAGGATCCCTCCTCCTCAGCAGTCTCTGAAACCTGCAGTTCTTTGATTTTTGGAGAACTCTCTTCAGCTTTTCAGTCTTTTAGCTTCCACTTTTAGAATTTGCATCTGCCTCTGGGGAAACGTGGTCCCAAATTCCAGGCTCATCTCTGAGCCTCTGTTCTCTCTCATACTGTTTTCCTCACTGATTGGATATGTCTCTGATGCCTCTAAATGGATGTTGTTATATTTCACTAGGCTTTCTCGTTGTTCTCAGTATGAGAACCATTTCCAGAAAGACAACTCTAAGAAATGATGTTTAGATGAGCTCTGAATGAGGAAGAACTAGAATTATCAAAATCTGAGCAAGAATGTCCAAGCAGGGGAAACATCAAGAAAGATGTGTTGGGGTGAGTGAAAATTTGGTTGTTTTCAAGGAATAGAAAAGCTATGGTGTGTGGAAATTAGGGAGCAAGGTAAATGACTGACATGAGGTCAGCAAGGGTCAGATCACGTGGGCACTGGAGGCCATGAGAAGGAGTGAGGATATTTTTTAAAGAATACTTTCTATTCACAATCACAAAAACATGGAATCGACCTAAATGTCCATCTATGGTAGACTGGATAGAGAAAATGTGGTATATATACACGGTGAAATACTATGCAGCCATAATAAAAAAAATGAGACCGTGTCTTTTGCAGGAACATGGATGGAGATGGAGGCCCTTATCCTTAGCAAACTAACACAGGAACAGAAAACCAGATACTTGCATGTTCTCACTTGTAAGTGGGAGCTAAATGATGAGAACATATGGACATATAAAAGTCAACGACACACACTGGAACCTATCGGAGGGTGGAAGGTGGGAGGAGGGAGAGGATCAGGAAGAATACCTAATGGGCACTGGGCTTAATAGCTGGGTGATGAAATAATCCGTACAACAAACCCCCGTCACAAAGTTACCTGTGTAACAAACCTTTGCATGTACTCCTGAACTTAAAAGTTCAGAAAAAGAATATTTGAAGAAGAATGGACTCAGTTCCCTGTATGTGTTGTTGAATTGGCCTCTGCCTTCAGGGAACGTTCATAGAGGATGGTTCCTGTGTTACGTTCAGTTCTTAGGATGCTGAAATACATGAATGATCCAAAGGCTCTACTTGTAGACTTGAGAACTTCATCCAAGGTTCCTAAGTATTTGATTTATCCATAAACCAGGCTGCCTACCTACATCAGAGTAGCTTCGGCAAATTGGAGTAAACTCGGAAGTGCCATTCACTGGCACGGAGTAGCAGCCAGGGCTCTGGGAAAGGGCCAGTTGGAGTGCTTTTTACCACTTCTCCTGTTTCTTTCTCTCTATTGCCTGTTTTTTGAGATGCAGTCTCACTCTGTCATCCAGGCTGGAGTGCAGTGATGTGATCTCAGCTCACTGCAACCTCTGCTTCCCAGGTTCAGGCGACTCTCATGCCTCAGCCTTCTGAGTAGTGGGTACTACAGGCATACACCGCCACACCCACCTAATTTTTTTACTTTTAGTAGAGGTGGGGTTTTGCCATGTTGTTCAGACTGGTCTCAAACTCCTGACCTCAGGTGGTTCACCCACCTTAGCCTCCCAAAGTGCTGAGATTACAGGCGTGAGCCACCCAGGCTCTCCATTGCCTGTTGCTTTCATGCCATCCAGTGTTTGGTCCAAAGTCCCCACCATGTCTAGGCCTTTTGGGAAGCCTGAGCCAAGCTTCCCCATTCCCTGAGGACGTGGCCCCATCTACTTACGGATCTCCACCCTGGAGAGTAGTAAATACATACTGAATGAAGGCATGGCTGAGTGAGCAGCCTAACTCACACAAAGATGTAACTTACTGTCCCTGGAGAGAGTTTTCTCACCTATCTGAATTGATAACCCCAAGATAACGTAGAGGAGCTAATTTTGAGCAGGATTTCAAATTATGTTTCTTTTCTCAAGAGCTCTTCCAGGGAAGAGAGTGCCTGTTCTCAGCATCCAAACCTCACATATCAGCCCCATTTCTCCCCCACCATTTAGAAATGGCTCACCAATTCACAAGTCGCCGGAGACAGAGGTTACTGCTTCCAGAGAGAGGCTTTGGTATGGGAAGACATGTATGAAAAGGCCCAAAATTGGAAATCATGTTTCCACGAATTCAAGGGGCTCATGCATTGGGTTCAGCTCACGGAAACTTGAAATCCATGATCCAAGAGCCTGACTTTGTAGATGAAAGACCCCATCTATCCTGAGTTTCAAGTATTGCTAGTTTATCCGTAAACCAGCCAGGGAAACCTACAGAAGAGCCTACGGATATTCAAAACAGCAAAGAGCAGAGGCCAAACATCAGAGCGGAACCTGCGCCTGGCCTGCGCTCCTGCAGTTAGGGGCTGCAGTCCTGTTGCTGGTCCTCAGCTGGGCTGATCCACTTTTACATGCTTGAGGGTCTGGCGATCGTTCTGAACCCAGGCATGAATACCTGCATGATTATGCCACTAACAGGCATTGCTGAAAAAAGAGGAAAGAAGAAAGAAAAGAAAAATGCCTTTCTTTGCATTAAAATTTTGTCAAATGACATTTTCTAATACTGTGTCCTTCAAGCAGATTGCACCCATGGTGAAGATCTCCTGGGCTTGTAAATGCATCTTCTGTAGAAAAGGCCATCTGGCCAGGTAATCCAAGCACTTTGGGAGGCCGAGATTGGCCGATCCTGAGGTCAAGAGATCGAGACCATCCTGGCCAACAAGGTGAAATCCCGTGTCTACTAAAAATACAAAAAATAACTGGGTGTGGTAGCACATGCCTGTGGTCCCAGCTACTCAGGAGGCTAAGGCAGGAGGATTGCTTGAACCTGAGAGGTGGAGGTTGCAGTGAGCTGAGATCGTGCCACTGCACTCTGGCCTAGTGATAGCACGAGACTCCATCTCAAAAAAAAAAAAAGGTAAACCATTCCATCTAAGGGGGTACGACGTGCTTTGGCATGCTCAGATGTGGATTTCTTGCCTTCCATCTGTGCTCACTGATGAGCCACTCATACGGCCTTGTATGCAACCCACTGTGATTTCTCTAAGTCCGTACCATTTTCACCCCAGAGCTCTTGCAGATGATGCATCAGCCTGCTTGGTTGTTTCCTGCGACATGTGTCAGGGGTCAAGCAGCATCTGACCATTTCATTCCAAATGAGCCAGGAAGGGTCTCAGCACTGTGCTCTTTGACCAGGGAATTCAGGGCCGGAAATATTTGAGAACACACAGCTCTGGGCTCTGGAAACGGCACTGGCTTCCTGCTCCATAGCTCCAGCTTGGGCAATTAAGATCACAGATGGCAGGAGAACAGGACCCTTCTGGGAGCTTTCTTAAATCAGATTCTAGAAAGAATATAGAACATAGTCGTTGTCCAGGAAGTGCCTATGAACAAACATCCTGGGTTCAAGAGCATGAGATTCTATTTACAGCTCTGCATGCCTCACAGGCAGGTGACATATTCATTTTTGGGTCTTTGAGTTAGGTAAAGAGCATCTTATGGGGAAAAAATAGAAAATGAGGGAGGTAAAGTGACTTGCTCAAGATCACTTTATGAGGCAGTGCCAGGTTGTTCTGAAAGGACCTAACTTCCTATTCCCGAAGCTCAAGATTTGGCAGCCCTCTCTGTTAACTGGCAGGGAGGGGTCCGAAGGGCCAAGTATTGATTCATTCAATTATTTTCATGTGAAGAAAGGGGCATATTTCACACTAGGCATTGAAAATAGCTGTGGGGAAGGCAAATTTGCTCTCTGCTCTTACAGAACTTTTATTGCATGGGCAGACAATAAGAAAAAAATCAGGATTGTGGTCCATTCTACGAAGGAGGGGCACAGGATGTGGAGAGAGTGGGTTCCTGAGAGAGGCTGGGGAGGCATCTCTCAGGAGGGAACGTTCAGGACGCCATGAGGGAAGGAAGTGCTGGAGCCAGCCACGTGGAGTCTGGGCGAGAGAGTGTCAGGAATGGGAGGTGGAAGAGCAGCCTGGAACATTCTAGAAACAATCCTAGGCCAGACTGGGAAGCACTCGAGAGAACAGGGTGGGAAATTTCATTTCACTCTGAACACAAAGGGAAGACAAGAAGGGTTTTAAAGCACCAAGGCCATATTTGATTTGAATTTTTATTTTTTATTTATCTTTTTTTTAAGTGATGGGGTTTGTAAGTGCAGTGGTACAGTCATAGCTTACTGCAGCCTCTACCTCCTGGGCTCAAGCAATCCTCCCACTTCAGCCTCTGGTGTAGCTGGTACTACAGGCATTCACCATTGCGTCCAACGAATTTTTTCTTTTTTTTTTTTTGAGATGGTGTCTTGCTGTTGCCCAGGCCAGAGTGCAGTGGTGTGGTCTTGGCTCACTGCAACCTCTGTCTCCCGAGTTCTAGAGATTCTCTTGCGCCAGCCTCCTGAGTAGCTGGGACTACAGGCGTGTACCATCATGCCTGGCTAATCTTTTATAGAGATGGGGGTTTCACCATTTTGGCCAGGCTGGTCTTGAACTCCTGACCTCAGATGATCTGCTCACCTCAGCCTCCCAAAGTGCTGGGATTATAGGCATGAGCCACTGCACCCAGCTGTGTCTAGCTAATTTTTAGGGTTTTTTAAGAGAAAGGATTTCACCATGTTGCCCAGGCTGGATACAAACTCCTGGCTTCAAGTGATCCTCCTTCCTTGACCTCCCAACGGGCTGGGATTACAGGTGTGAGCTGCTATGCCTGGCCTTACTTTGTGCTTTTAAAAGATCACTCTGGAGAGTGTGTGAAAAACTGAGAGTTTGAAGGCAAGAATAGCAACAGGAGGCTGAGTACAGTGGCTCATGCCTGTGGTCCCAGCTACTCAGGGTCTAAGATGGAGGGATTGCTTGAACCCAGGAGTTTGAGGCTGCAGGAAGCTATGAGAGTGCCCCTGCACACCAGTCTGGGCGACAGAGCAAGACCCCGTCTCAAAAATAAGAAAAAGTATAGCAACAGGAGTTTGTTGCATCAGAGAGAGAGAATGGAGAATGGAGGGTGGGCCTGATGGTGGCCATGGGGTGGGAGGAGTGGGTAGGGTCTGAATACATTCTGCGCATGGAATTGGCAGGACATACAAATGGTGGGTGTTGGGGTGGGCAGGATGAGGGGAGGGAGGAATCAAAGACATTACCTAGATTTTGACTTTAGTAAGTCACCAAGTGGAAAGAGGTTCCATTTATTGAGGGGGGAAGACAAAGGAGGAGCAGGTTTGCAAGTTGGGAGCGCAAAGAGTTCTTTTTTGCATATTCTATCCAAAAAAAAAAAAAAGCAGATGTGGGAATGGGCGGAGAAACACCCTCTCTCCCTTCCTCTCTTTCTCTCTCTCTCTTTTCCCCTCTCTCTCCTACTGAAGATGAGTCTGTATATTAAAATTCCAAAGC